AATACGATTTTAAGCTCTTGACCTTCTATGTAAAGAGCCTTGAGATCATGGATATTAGGATTTGGTGCTATATAAATAAAATTTAATTGAAATTGAATCAGTGCCACTGATTCAGGATCAAAGCAAAAGCACCAGTTGGTTTGCATCATGTCAGAGGCTCCTGTCTGGGTGTGATCCCTCCTTATTAACTTTACACTGAAACAAGTGTTTAGGTTCACAAGTTATTGGAACCTGAACAGTACTTTGTGTTTGTTTGATTTGCTCCAGAGTTTGTGAAATGTATTTAAACACATTGAAGAAAAAGTTTTCATTTTGTGCGCACTGCAGCATACACACACACTTTATTTATTGTTTTGGTTGTGTTAAATTTATTTAGGATATTTTTATATTTTTATTTCTCATTCAAATGTCAGACTTAATATTCTTTAGAATTAAGTTCATTGCTCTATGAAAGTGTGAACTTGCATGATTATCGATGCAGAGTCATCCTCTCTGCAGGAGCCCAAACATTAACACGTGTTGCTCCTCGTCTGCTCTCTGCTGTGTGCGTCAACCTAACCTGATGTGGGCGTAACTCTATTCCAGCCACATGATTGGTACCGTGCAGTGATATGCTCATTTTCATTGGATGTGTTGTCTGTCATAACATGGATGGGAAGAATTCTATCCTTGTTGTAGGAACATGTCTTAAATTTATATCTGGGAAAAGTTTGCGATAATTATCTATCATTTTATCACCCAGTCCTACATTCACGTATACATACTCTTTCACCCAGATGCGCTAAGAGGTACCAAAATTTGGCACAGATTGATTTAACGTGAATCTGCACTGGGTAGTACCATTGTAATTCAGTCGGTGCTCTAAAGAGTACCAAGTTCGGTACCCAACTCTATGCGCTTGTGCACCTAAATGAAAAAATTAAGGGCACCGATGCAACCAATGTGAAAAGTTAGTCTGGATCCATGCAAGAACAAACATGGCAACAATGGAGAAGGAAATGATAGTAAAAGTAAAATGATATAGATCCTGTATTTTCAGAACAATTAAGTTTCCGCCACTGTAAAAATGTCTTCTTCATGTCCTATTTGTTACACTGCCCCCCTATGATTTCAAGTGGTACTTCTCTGTTTTGTCTCTGTCGTCTGTATAATAATAAGGTCTGACTACATCAAGAGCCTTGACATGATGTGTGTTGTGATTTATTGCTATAGAACTACTACTATAAAACTTCTATTATCCAGGTTAAACAGTGCATCTGTCAGACCAGTGCAGTTACCTTGACAGTCTGATCTAAGGAGGCTGTGGCGACTCTGGCCTGAGCTCCCATCAGGCCGCAGTGCAGGTCGGTGATTGGTAGAGAGTGACGAGACAGGACATGACGGGGATCTGGGGTGTGGTTTAAATCCAGCTGTATCACACTGAAACAAAAAACAGTCTTCAGATTAAAAGTGTTTACATACTAATAGTCAGAGTTAAAAACATTGAGTATCTTTTTAAAGGGTCGACATGAAAATATCCAATAATCAGTTTAGTTCAGGTTTATAACAGTCATCTGAACCATGGTGACAATAAATAAACTAAACAATCAAAGTCCCTCTGCTCTTGAGCCATTGCTCACATAAATGCGTTAGTGCATTTCATGACACCAGGTCTCCCTCCTGGAATATAAGATACAGTAGTTTGTTCTCAACTTTCAAAGGAAATATACAACACACTTTTTAAAAATTGAAGGGAACACTTAACATAATAAAACCAAGTCAGTTAAACTTCAGAGATCAAAGTGTCCATTTAAAAGAACAAGTGATTGTGAATCACTTTCTCTTTTTTGGTGCAAATCAAAGTCACAACAGGTTAAATGGAGACAAAAGCAAACGAGCCCCAAACAGGGAATATTTTTAATGTGGTGTCCACAGACAGCTGCTCTCTCCTGGTCCTTCCTGACTCATTCTAGTTCTGTGTTCTGCTCGGGTCCTCGTCACTACTGGTAGCATGAGGCGCTACCTGCAGCATCAGGTTGCAGAGTTAGTCCAGCTCCTCCAGGAGGACTCATTCATCCATGTGGTCACAAGAAGGTTTGTGTCTCCAGCACAGTCTCAAGAGCCTGGAGGAGACACCAGGAGACGTTACACCAGAAGACATTACACCCAGGAGACACCAGGAGAGCTGGACAGAAGAAGAGCATCAACCCAGCAGGAGGAGCACTGCTCTACAAAATGACCTCCAGCAGGTTACTGGTGTGTTTCTGAACAAACTGTCAGAAACAGACTCCATGAGACATGACGTCTTCTAGTGGGATCTGAGCTCACAGTCCAGCACCGAGCAGCTCCGTTCACCAGAGAACACCAGGTTCACCCCCGGAGCCTCATTCTCTTCACAGATGAGAGCAGGTTCACACTGAGCACATGTGACCGACGGAATCGGGTGAGTTACCTGCACAGACTCCACACCAGAGCCAGGTTGTCTTTTCCTCCAGAAATAAAATGGCTGCTGTCGTCAGTGAACTTCAGACAGGTGACGTCCTGATAGTGACGACTGAGGACAGACAGCAGTTTACCTGTGCACACCTGAATCAATCAAAGAGAGTGAGTTTGAATCAACAGGACGCAGAGGGGTTGCCATAGAAACCAGAGACTGTACATTTTTTAAATTCAAATAAAGAAAAGCATGAAGAAGGCACCTCCCACAGGTAAATGGCCTCCGCGACTCCAGCAGCGAGGAAGAGTCCGTCAGGTGAAGCCGTCACACAGGTGACCACACCTGGACACACAATCTTTTGCTGCAGCTGATCCTGCAACACACACACACACACACACACACACACACACATTGTGACATGACCTCTAACTGTTATTTCTTCTTCTTTCATAAATCACAACCACCATCTGAAGCGGCAGCTTTTCAAAATAAAGTTCTTCACATCACTTTAAAATAAGCTTCATGAAGTTCAGCAGGTTTTTCTTCAATAACTTCATTTTAATTTTCAGATGAGTCTGTTTAAGGGTTGCTGTTTTTAAAATGACGTTTTTATTTACAGGGTTTGGTCTGAGAGTCCCAGCAGAGGGCCGGGTGAGTCCGAGTGAATCTGAGTGAGTCCGAGTGAATCTGAGTGAGTCCGAGTGAATCTGAGTGAGTCCGAGTGAATCTGAGTGAGTCCGGATGTCTCGTACCTTCCTCTGGATCTCCCAGACGTTGATGAAGTTCTTTCCGAGCTGGGCGGAGAGCAGGAACTCCCCGCGGAGCAGCGACAGAGTCCGGGCCGAGCTGTTCCCTCCCCGGTATGAGAGCAGGCTGGAGCCGCTGTAGAGGTCGAACACGGTGCTGTTCCACAGCTGAGAGCCGGAGTCACTGGTCACTACCACCTCCAGAGGAGCCGCCATGTTGGCTCCAGCAACAACAAACCCGCACACGCGGGTTTTCTTCTTCTTCTTCTTCTTCTTCTTCTTCTTCTTCTTCTTCTGCTGCTGCTGTTGTTTATTGGCGCTTGGTAAACCAGCTTATAGGTACATTACCACCACCTTCTGGACTGGAGCGTAGAGCAGCAAACAATAAAAATGTATGTGATATTTTGCTTTTCGTCTTTTAATCCTGATATTAATTCTCTTCATTGTTCATTAGGGCCCGAGCGCTGTGAAGCAGCGAAGGTTCTTATTCTTCTTCTTTTTATTGTTTGCGCAAGTTTAGGGATGTTCCCGTGGGTGAAAACTCACCGGCTTTTGCAGACACGTCAGGTAAACTGTGGGTTTAAAGCATAGACTGTATATAAAGGTTTAAAGCATAGACTGTATATAAAGGTTTGAAGCATAGACTGTATATAAAGGTTTAAAGCATAGACTGTATATAAAGGTTTAAAGGGACATCGTACATGGGCGGAGCAAAACAGCTCTGTAGCACCCCCTACAATTTATAAGAAATCAATATGAAATCATATAGCCCAACACACATTGTCAAGCAAAATATAACATAAAAAAGAGGTGAATGTAGGGGATAAAGAGTTCATAAAATCAGGCGTAAAAAGTAGGTGTAAAAATGTGTGCAAAAAATGAAGGAATTAAATAGTAAACATGTCAGTAGAATGTTGCAAATCTTTTCACACTGGGATTAGATGACTCGTGTTCATTATTGATTCATCACAAGTTACCTGATTTACACAACACTGATTATCAAGGCATGATGGAGGATGAAGACGTGTCTGACAAAAATCTGTTGAAAATGTCTCAGAAAAGAAAACATCCAGAACTGAGATAAAGCAGTTAAAAGTGAAGAAAGCAGAGTCAGAGAGTGATGAAGGTCTGACTCAGGAGGAGCAGCAGAGACAATATTCTGCTGCAGACATTAAAACGTTCCAAAAGAAAACCAAAGGAACCAGACAAGTGAAAGTAGAAGATCATTTCTCTGAAGTCAACAGGCCTCTGACTAAAAAATGTGATGGAGAAGATGTTCTAACAGAACAGGAAATGTATAGATTAAAGAAACTGATTGTCAAAGTTAAAGCACAGATCATTGATGATGATGTCTAATATTGATAACTTGTGTTTTCTCTGTCTGCCGCTGGTCTGTTCTTCTCAACCTTCTCTCTCATGTACGAATTCCTTATTGGGACGTTAAACCTGAATGTTCATGAACCATGATGTCCATGTTGAGTGTGGTTCTAGAGGTTTCATCCAATTAATAGGGTTAAATGTGTGTGTGTGTGTGTGTGTGTGTGTGTGTGTGTGTGTGTG